TTTTTTTTTAGTTTTGGATATTCATATATCCAAATGGTTCAAAGAAGAGTAAAAACCCAAAATCAAACGAGGTGCTATGACAAAAAGAAGTCAAACCTAAAAACTCTAAGATCAAGCGAGGTGCTATGATAAAAAGAGTTAAAGGTAGAACTTCAAAGTCAAGCGAAGTGATTTGAAAATGGATAATACTCTCTAAAAGAACTAAATTTGGTGTTTATTGATTTTTCAAAAGACAATGAAAATATCTATGAGTTTTTATCGCATTATCTTTTCAAGATTGATTTTTGCATTCTTTCAAAATCAATCTTGAGGGGAATGTTGAAATACAAAAATGAATATGTGATTGAAGGAAATATTGATTTTAAGATATGATTAGAAATAATAATGGACATAATATTATATCAAATATTGTGTATCGATCTTATTTATTTCTATTTCTTTTTTATTTTGTCTGATAGTTTTCCTATAAATATGTGAGTCATTTTCATTGTAATGTAATCAGAAGAAAAAGAGATGTAGCAATAAAAGTAATTTTGTTTCTTTCTATTTGTCTTATTTTATTTCCGCATTTTATTTTTCTACAGATGGTTCAATAGGCCTTTGGCTCGCTCACTCACACAATTAATTGTGTATTTTTTCTCCACGAGTGGAATCGAATCCAATACGGTGATTTTTTAGATTGTACTACTGGAACACCAACTAGTGGGTAAATATTATATATATATATATATATATATATATGTGTGTGTGTGTGTCTACGTGGCTGATTCTTTTCATTTCAAACTGTACCGAGAAACGGTTCACTCACTGCACAGATAGTCCATAAAGAGCCAAATAACATCTTCCCCTCAAAACGCCTGCCTTCGAAACGGATACATGTTGATTGTGGGCAAGGGAAGAATAATACCCGCCAATAATGCAGACGGGGAGATTCCCTTAAAGACGAAGGGCATTCCCGTAATTTCACACCCGTCCCACGAAACACAGTTTCGGAATCGCCGTTGAAGAAGAAACTGGTGAAAGCTGATGTGCATGTGAATGGGCATCTCTTCAACACAGTCTTATTAAAAAAAAAAATGGTTATATAAAGCCTCTGCTCCTCAAACATTCCCATCAACGTTTCAGTTTGCTCTTTCCTCCTTGCCTTTCAACCGTCTTCTTCTTCGTCCTTCGGGTAAGCTTCTTGCTCGATTACTTCCTTCCCAAGCAACAAAAGTTTCTCCTCGTTTTAACCCTAACTGATTGGGGGTGGAGACGGGTCCGGTACCCGGGTTTCCGTGGGTACCCGGCCCGACCTCTGCTTCATCCCCACGGGTTTCATGGCGGCATTACCTTGTCTCGATCTCCCAAGACCCGGATACACACGGCTAATTAAAGGTCGGGTATCCACGGATGAACTCGTGAAAATTTGCAAATTTTGCTGATATGAACTGGTTTCAGGGGTATAATGGTAATTTTGCATAACAACCTATGTATATATGGTTTCATGACGCCATTACCTTGTCTCGGTCTCCCAGAACCGGATACCCGAACTTGGCAAAAACCTGTAAATTTGGTTGATATGAATATTGGTTCTAGGGGTATAATAGTAATTTTACTTGAAAAATCGAAACCACAACCCGTGATCTTGGTTCCTGCTCTCGTCCCACCAGTCTTCGACATCAATATGGTGCACAGATACCCGCATTCTGCATTCAGGGTACCCAGAAACCCGCGGATCTCGGGTTGAAACGTCCACCCGTATATATGTCTCTTAAGGCTCTAGTGTCAAACGCTTTCAGGGATCACAAGCAAGGATCGGAAAAAGGATGAGCTGGACGGGAGGAGACTGGCTGTGCGGGGCGTGCCACCACGCAAACTTCAAGAAAAGAGAGATATGCCAGAAATGCGGCTACCCGAAATTCGGGGGCCCCGATGCATCGACGTATCTGTACAACAGGACCGAGGTTTTGGCCGGAGACTGGTACTGCGCCGCGTTGAACTGCGGCAGCCACAACTACGCGAGCCGTACCAGCTGTTACCGCTGCGGAACGGTGAAGAACGACGGCTACTCGGACCAATATTACGGAGCCCAGATGGTTGCCTATGAAAACGAAGCCAAGGCTTATCCTCCCGGCTGGAAAACTGGCGACTGGATCTGTTCCAGGTTACACTCTTACCCCTAAAATCCATCTCAATTTTCTTTTTCGAGGGATTTTTTCCCCCCAATATTTTATGAATGAAGAAACTGGTTTCAATTGAAATATATATGAAGCCTATTTTGAAGCTTTAGCAATCAAGATAACCCTAGTGTTTATCAAGAACGTTTGCTCTAAAATTAATAAAACCCGTTGAATTAATTAAATCATCCGTAATTTTATTGCATTAACGTAACAAAATTTTTGATATATATATATATATATATATATATATATATATTACAAAAACCGCAGAACAGACCTCGGCTCTTTCCCGTGGATCCGAGAGTTTGGGGATGTATTTTAGAGCTTCCGCTTTCTCGTCTGCATCGATGCATGCCTCCACAAATGGACGGTAACCTGTAAAAAATGCATCCATAAATGGAGGAAGACGAGTGGAAACTAAGAATCGATAGACAGGAAAGTTAAAAAAACCAGAGATCTGAACAACAATCTTCAACTGCAATATCCTAAGACGAATCTTTGACAATGTAGTAAGTTAACCCTAAACCCTAAACCGAGGTATAAACAAAGCCGTACCTATCGGTGGTCTCTTTTCCTTGGAGAACTTTTCCAGCGCTTCCCAGTCTCGGATTGTAGCCAAAGCAAATACTTTAAGCCAGTACCATCTTTTCTCCGACACCTGAAATTCAGACCCGAAAAAAGTTCTCTATGATTGCTGAAACTGGCTCTCTATTATATCCCTTGCGAGAAAAAATGGGAAGATCAAAGCTAAACCTTGAATTCCGTCTTCACTTTCACCGCAGCACGATGGTTACCCAAGACAATACACGTGCGTATCGTGTCGCTGATACTCGAATCAACAAAGATAGCTTGTTTGGTGCTAACTTCAAGCTCGTGCTGTATCCTGAAAAGCATAGAGTATAAAACAAGAAAAGTGCTCGGAAATTATTAGATGGCATAGACCAAATTGATACGAAACCGAGCATGAATGAAGCGTTGAAGAGAATATCTGCAATCAAGTCGATATAGCACACAACAACAGATGTGATGAAAATCTATATATACCTCAAGAGTTTTGCGTGTTCTTCCGCAGCCTTAGACTCGAAGGTGTGCTCCTTTGTTTCGGCGAAAAGGCTGTGAGCTTTTTCTATTAGTTTGATACGCGGGCCTTGTAAAGGAGACCCTTTGCTTGCCATAGGATTCTTCCCCAGCTCCCATGATTCTTTCCACAAAAGGAAAGCTACATCCTGCAAAATAACTCGGAGTGAAGCTCATGTTGGTCAAGACAGATAATTCCGAACTCAACAAGAATAACATCATTATGTTTGCGAGATAACATTATTATCCGGTAGTCAACTTCGAGTTTACAACACTAATATCCAACATAGCGGCCCAACTGTGCATCGGATTAACCAATGAACTGAAGCATGAAAATATCAATCATGAAACATACATGAAGCTTGCCCGTCGATAAGAAGAAATCCTTCAGAAATTCGTGCTTATGGCAACTGAAACAGGAAAATGTATATAACCATTAGATACTTAAATAAGAGAACATTTTTAAGGCTAACATGTTTTAATCACTTTTTAAATTAAATAAGATTGTGGTTCAGGCTCAGCATATAGGGCGGTTCTAGGCAATCATACACAGAAGTCCATCGGGTGCGGGGTTCATAACTACGCTAGTAGGGGAGAATGCTACAAATGCAAGACCTCAAGGGATTATGGTAAGCAAATATTGTAAAGCCCCTCATATATATATATATATATCCTATAGTATGAGGTACACATTCTAAAGTACAATTACTTAATTAAGCAGGATTTACGTTTTGGGATTAACAAGCATTTCCTTCGTTCTCTAGGTGGTTCCTAATTCACAAGTTTAAGCACAAAAAGATGGAAAGAACTCGATATATATATATATATATGCATATACATATATATATATACACACAAAGGGAAAGGAGAGATATATCACGTTGGTCAAATCTCTTCTTCTTGTTGTTTCTTTCTGTTTTTTTTTTCTCTCTTGTGTTGTAATGAAATGTAGCCATGTAAAAGCGACAACAAGGGTTGGCCACATTATAACGTGCATGGCTTCTTACGTTGTTGCCTTGTTACAAATACCACGCATAAAACCTAGTCATATATATACATACATAATTACATATATATATATATATATATATATTCTTTTTGATGCGAACATCATGTAAAGGAGGGAAAAGATAACAATAAACTAAGAAAATAAAATACTATTAAAAGATCGAAATCTGCATCTTTAGCACATGCACATCAATCGATTTCACTCAATTCTGTAACATAACAAACACAATGTAGATATACATATATAATGTTTTTAATAAGAATATTTTTTTTAACAATTATTAATATTATGTTTATTAGTACAAAAAATAAAATGAGTTTTATAAATATTTTAATTTTTTATCAATAACTGAAAAAGTTTATATGTATAATTTAAATAATAAAATCTATGTATATAATTATTTCAAGATAGATAATTTATTTGATTTCGGCGTAAATACGAACTGATATTTATTCTTTTGATTAATTATCGATATTTTTATTCTCTAATTAATTATATTTTAACTAAACTAGCTTTTATATCTTGACGTGCCACTACATGCTGACAAGTGCGGTAGACATGACAAGAGGACGCAGGGGTATTTGAGTCATTATGACACGTATTAAATTTACGGCGAAAAGGAGAGGAGAGGTATAATTCTCTGATCAACCAGGTTTTAGGGTTCCTAAAACCGCCGCAACAAAACAGCGAGAAGACACATCGCCATTTTTTCCGGCGATGAATTCGAGAGCGCCGATGACGCCGCCAGTGAACAGAGGCGGTACATCGAACATATTCTACAAGACGAGAATGTGTGCGAGGTTCAGAGTTGGTGCATGTAGAAACGGAGAAACCTGCAACTTCGCTCATGGAATCGAGGATCTGAGACAACCTCCGTCGAATTGGCAAGAGCTTGTGGGAGCGACAACCAGCGAAGAGCGTGAGCGCGAACGAGAACGAGAGCGAGAACGAGAACGACCTACTTCGTCTGTTGTTGTCCGGAACATGAGCAATTGGGATGAGGACCAGAAGATCATCCAGAGAATGAAGCTCTGTAGGAAGTTTTGCTGTGGAGAAGAGTGCCCATATGGAGATAGATGCAATTTTCTTCATGAGGATTTGGCCAAGTACAGGGAGGATACTTCCAAGTTGAGGGAGAGTTCTGCTATAAGCATAAGCATTGGTAATGGTGGTTCTGATCCATTAGCGGGTAATGTGAGTTCTTCATCTAGTCAAATTGAAGCTAATAGGCATGTAGGACCAATGCCGCTACCCGTCCCACCCGTTCCCTTGTGCAATCCGAACCCGATTTTGAATTCGAATTTGAATTCGAATTGCAAGACTGTGTATTGGAAGACGAGGTTGTGTATGAAGTTTGAGATCACGGGTCAATGTCCTTTTGGTGATAAATGTCACTTTGCTCATGGTCAAGCAGGTAACTTTTGCTCTTTTGGATCATAGATGTCTAATTATGAATCTTGGTGTTGCTTGGCCTTAGTTTTACAAATCTTGGAATTCAAATTCGGTGCTTACCTCGAGAATTTCATTTTGCTCTTCAGTACTGATGTGTGGATTTGTGAATTTCATTTAGGATCATAGATATGTAACTAAAAATCTTGTGGTATCATATTGTGTTTCTTGGCCTTAGCCTTACGAACCTCTGAATCCAAATTCGGAATCTTGAGGATTTCATTTTGTTCTTAAGTACTGATTTGTTGAAATGTGAAAGACATAATGCTGTTTATCTGCTCCATGAAGGAACTTTTCGGGTTTGTGTTTTCACGTAAAATCTGCTATTATATAATCACAGAGCTCAATAGCGCGCTCGGAAGGGTCGAAGCCGAAGCCATGAATGTGGTAACATTTGCTGGTAATGATGCTTCGGCAATGAAAGCAGCAACTGTGCAAGTAACATCGGCTTCTTCCAGCCCGAACGAAGAACCGGAGCGGAAGAAGTGTTTGTTCAAGTGGAATGACCCGAAGAAAATTAACAGAATCTACGCTGATTGGATCGATGATCTACCTGTGGGTCAAACTGCGGCGAAACAGGTCGAGAGCTGAGCACTTCATAAACACACACGCACACACTGATTCATCGTTTTCTCGAGTTCTTATTCGTGTTCTTCTATCGGTTTTCTTCTATTCTATAGTTGATATGAAAGTCTCTCTTAGAGTGCACAACGAATTTTGATGATCTATATATAGGTCATATAGCCTGATCTAAAATTTGAACATTACCACAGTTTGTGATCTTGTATTCGATTAAATGAAGAGCATCAATTCTTTGATTCCTTGATTTTGTGCAATAATCTTCAAGAGTGACATACCAATTAGGCATGTCAGGGGTCGGGTATCCGAGTTTTTGAGGGTACCCGATTTTGGTCACATATAGCCTTGCGTAGGGCACTAGGTTTGCGTTTGGCGAACTGATGAACCTCTGTCACCTCGCGTGTAAGGGATTTGAGCTCCGAACGTCAGTTTCCGTATTCAATCTTGGCCTTGTTCGGCTCGTGTACCCGGACTTGTGAGCCGATAAATTTTGCAGCCATGTTCCAGTGGGAAACGTGAGTTTTGTCTCGATTCAGGCAAGGAAGAAAGAAGCTAATTTAATTCGTCAATGAACATAGACTAGGTGATAGTCTAGCTCGGTTCAGGCGTGAAACAGCAGCAGAAGCTGTATTTAGGATTAGGGTTAGAGTTCGATCGTTTGGATTTAGGGTCAGAGTTAGTGTGAGATAGGCCAGCGGTGGTGGGAAGACCGCCTGAACGGCCATCTCCCGAGAGTTCACTTGTGAGAGAGTCGTGATAGTGTTAGGTTTGATATCCGTGAGACATAGATTCGACTCCGAACCCGAACTTCTAGTATCAATCATGCCCCCGGGTACCCGAAATTCTAGGGTTTTTTTTTGCGACCCTTAATACCAATGCACGTTTCACACACAGGAGAAGATCGTGTTTGGTAAGAAAATGGCACAACAGCTTGGTTTTTACAAGACAACTCAAATGTTTCATATACCAGGAAGATTTCTCACCATCACAGTACACTCCCAATCCGAGTCTGACGATTCGGGCTTTTTTCCCAAGATCGTTTCTGTACACATTCTTCCGAAAAAACGACACAAAATCAGTAAAGAAACGGTTCATGTTGAAGATGAAACTCACTCACTCAAAAGCACTCTAAGACATGCCCTGGAAAGACATTCTTAGAGTGTCGAAAATGGAAGTGGTGGACGCGTTCTGTGAAAATGTCATCTTCAGCCTCCCAAGCAACTCTCCGTCCTTCGCTTGCGAGGCCGCGTCGGCTGCTTCCTTGGCCATTCCGATCCGAGCGTAAGCCTGAGATTTTCAAAATCCGAAAGAAAACTATCATCTGATACTCTTCCGGGTCCGGTTTTGTATGGCCATTAGGCAAGATTTGCCACTTTCTGATTCGTTTTTTTTTTCATGTGCGAAAATGGGGAAAGAGGATTCAAAGTATATACAAAAACCGCAGAACAGACCTCGGCTCTTTCCCGTGGATCCGAGAGTTTGGGGATGTATTTTAGAGCTTCCGCTTTCTCGTCTGCATCGATGCATGCCTCCACAAATGGACGGTAACCTGTAAAAAATGCATCCATAAATGGAGGAAGACGAGTGGAAACTAAGAATCGATAGACAGGAAAGTTAAAAAAACCAGAGATCTGAACAACAATCTTCAACTGCAATATCCTAAGACGAATCTTTGACAATGTAGTAAGTTAACCCTAAACCCTAAACCGAGGTATAAACAAAGCCGTACCTATCGGTGGTCTCTTTTCCTTGGAGAACTTTTCCAGCGCTTCCCAGTCTCGGATTGTAGCCAAAGCAAATACTTTAAGCCAGTACCATCTTTTCTCCGACACCTGAAATTCAGACCCGAAAAAAGTTCTCTATGATTGCTGAAACTGGCTCTCTATTATATCCCTTGCGAGAAAAAATGGGAAGATCAAAGCTAAACCTTGAATTCCGTCTTCACTTTCACCGCAGCACGATGGTTACCCAAGACAATACACGTGCGTATCGTGTCGCTGATACTCGAATCAACAAAGATAGCTTGTTTGGTGCTAACTTCAAGCTCGTGCTGTATCCTGAAAAGCATAGAGTATAAAACAAGAAAAGTGCTCGGAAATTATTAGATGGCATAGACCAAATTGATACGAAACCGAGCATGAATGAAGCGTTGAAGAGAATATCTGCAATCAAGTCGATATAGCACACAACAACAGATGTGATGAAAATCTATATATACCTCAAGAGTTTTGCGTGTTCTTCCGCAGCCTTAGACTCGAAGGTGTGCTCCTTTGTTTCGGCGAAAAGGCTGTGAGCTTTTTCTATTAGTTTGATACGCGGGCCTTGTAAAGGAGACCCTTTGCTTGCCATAGGATTCTTCCCCAGCTCCCATGATTCTTTCCACAAAAGGAAAGCTACATCCTGCAAAATAACTCGGAGTGAAGCTCATGTTGGTCAAGACAGATAATTCCGAACTCAACAAGAATAACATCATTATGTTTGCGAGATAACATTATTATCCGGTAGTCAACTTCGAGTTTACAACACTAATATCCAACATAGCGGCCCAACTGTGCATCGGATTAACCAATGAACTGAAGCATGAAAATATCAATCATGAAACATACATGAAGCTTGCCCGTCGATAAGAAGAAATCCTTCAGAAATTCGTGCTTATGGCAACTGAAACAGGAAAATGTATATAACCATTAGATACTTAAATAAGAGAACATTTTTAAGGCTAACATGTTTTAATCACTTTTTAAATTAAATAAGATTGTGGTTCAGGCTCAGCATATAGGGCGGTTCTAGGCAATCATACACAGAAGTCCATCCCTCTTTGCTACTTTGGACTCCTCCCCAAAGGTCCCTTTGCCGAAACATTTATTGAAACCTAATTCCTTGTTTAATCTTGATCATTGATAGTGTAAGGAAAAAAAACAAGAATGCTCAGTAGACGAAAAGGAAAAGGATTTCTACCGGGCATATGTTATAAATAAATCGCGTGCCATATGTCTGCCTTGGATCATTGAAAAGAACTCCAACGGAGGTCTCTGGTGAACCCGAAAAATTAAAACCAATCAGTTATTTTTTTAGCTTAATACTGAGAGACAGACAGTGTGAATCATCGCAAGTGGAAAAGCAAAAAAAGAGAAGTCTTCAGTTGAAGGAAGGGATGGTACCTTTTGCCATATATGAAATACAACAAGGTAGACCAGGTCGGTATCACCACTCTCGGTGGCCTTCGTTAAAGCCGTGTCTTCCTCCCCGATGCTTAATAAAAGCGGAACCTGAAATTACAGAAAGGATCATGAAAAAAAAATCTGGAAATACGTTTTAGATTTTGCTCCTACATAATGTTTTTCATTAATAATGATAACCTGTTTCGAGGAGCGTGGTTCATGTTCGATAAGCATTGCAGCCAGCTTTCTCCGGCCACAGTTATCTGCATGAGTGGCCACTGCAGCATATGATATCCCTCTGCATAGATGTAGCTGAAGTTCAAAAGATTCATCCTTTTAGCCCAATGCGATTGCTCCATATCCAACGATTACAAGGATATGTATCTGCCCTCGTTACCAAAAAGAGATCGGACTTCAAACCTTATCGAGCAAAATTTCAAGAAGATGAGCATCTGGAATTGACGGCGAAGCAGTTATCTTCGCACAAGCCCAGTGCATAATTACCACCTCCTGTACAGTGCCAGTAACAAAAAAGATGAGCTTATCTAAAAGCGTTAAATAAGTCAGGCAGGACAACAATAACAGGAGAGGGTAGCATCCGGCTTACTTTATTCATCCCTAAGTACTCCGATATCCGAAAAGCAAGAAGGTGGTAATGGTCATTAATTAAGCGACCAATCAAAACAGCTGCTGTAAGTAACTGCAAAATCGAACTCACTCAATTCGGCAAAAAAAAGGGAAAAAGTCACAAATATTTACAACCCATATAAAAGATGTAAACACCTTGTACTGCTTGATGCTAAGAGGTATGCCAATCCCCGGATCACGGACAGCATTTAGAACCCGTAAAGTTCTTGAAGTCTCTTGGATGCGGTCACGTTGAAAATTGCTGCCGCAGTTAAATGAACATCAGTCTCGGTAGCGAGGTTATTCAAAATTGTAGTATTTCAAGCTAACCTGCAGAAAGCTTGTCCATAACTTGCAGCTCGTAATAGAGCCCTTTGACGAGAGACATCGAATTCATGACCGGCAGCATCAATACAGGCTTCAACAGCCTCAGGCAGGGACGAGCGTATTAATCTCAAGTTTTCATCTGCCTGGTAGAAGGAGAGACACAACTTCAGTCCCGAAATCCAGAAATGATAATTGTAAAGTATTCTCATCCTTTATTTCCTCATTCTTTTGTAAGAAAGAACATCACATAACTCTACATCCGATTTTCACCCTTCTATACTTGCATATTCAATTGATTTCCGGACATGAAAACCCTCACCAAAAAAGAAGATCACATCCTAAACTGGGCATAACTTACAGAACGAACGTACCATGCAAAAGAAGAAGCCCCTTTTACTATTTCTACAACGAAACCTACCTTAGCACTCCGCCTGTCAAAATGATCCAAAGCGTCAAACAACAAAGCAGCGGGAGATGTGCTTCCGATCTTAAAGATTGAAACAGTAGAATCGGGTACTCTTTGCAGAAATTCCATGCTCGTGTTAGATAATATCCTCACTCCATCGCATTCTGGAATCAGAATTACGGGTTCATCGTAGAAATAGCGAATTGGATCTCCTAGAGGGCCAACCATCATTAACTCATCATCCCAATAAAGTAGTACACTGTCCATTCCACACCAAGCCATTTGTTGCGGAGGAAGGGCTGACTGGAGAAAAGAACACAATTAATCAAACAAACAGACCACCATACATCCACTGAATATATAAACTAGAAAGAAGAAAGCATCTCAAGAGTATATGAGATGACAAAATCCCGCTGTTAAATTCGATGTATGATACCTCACAACTGTAATCAATAGCGATATCCTTTGTCTCCATGCCGACTACAATGATCCGACCATCGTGAGTGAAGAGTGCAAGAAACTTGCCATTGGGCGATACAACCATCTTCTGCACCGGCCCAATCATATTTCCATAATCAGCATTCTGCATCTCAGAGTCTGCAACACTCTGCCCATCGAACCGAATGCTCTGAGCCTCATCCTCATCCACCACGAAAACCCCATCACCGACCGCCACCAACACTTCAACATTCCCAGACATCGTGTACTGAGGTTCCCTCACAGCCAAGCAATAGGGTCGAAGCATTTCATCTTCCGTCATTCCCGGCACATCGGCCAGCTTACACGGCTTCATGGTCTTGAAATCCGGAATGCAGGAAAGCTGCCCTCCTTCCGTCAGGCAAACAACACCATTTCCCCAGAAGACACACTCCACCACATTCTGCTCGAAACACTCCTTCCCCATCGAGAAATTGGGTTCGATGGGTTCAGAGTGGATGTTGTAACGGTAAACGGTTCCGTCTTGGACAATGCAGATCAGTGTCTGATCATCAGACCAGGACATACCAACGAGGCGTCCACCAGGGTTCTTCCATACTGTCTCCGAGATCAGAATGCCGGCTGAATTAAAGATACGAAGCTTTCGTAGAGCAGATTCGGCATAGAGTTGGACGATCTTCGAGTCATCACGAATGACTGCGATCGGCCCACCAAATGGAGCACATGCCACTTTGTTTCGGCTCAAATCAACATGCTTCCATCTCATTTGGTAAATCTCTGGCTTCCTGTAGTATCTATTGAAGAGAAGCTGCCATTCTGCAGCAACCGAGACATTCGCCATTTCTGTTCTTCGGAACCTGATGAAAGGTAGAAAGGAACTGAACATTTTAGGGGTTTCCCAAAATCCAATGGATTCTCCCGAAATAATCAAAGCAACGATAATCGCATTTCATTCACAACACAGTATCATCTCCAATACGATTCAAAAACTTACTGCAAAGAAGACACAAAACAAGAAAAACCCATAAAGTTGAAACACAGAAGAAGACCCTGAAATCAGAACCGGAAACTATGGATTTCGAGCATCACCTTGTAAACGCAAAGCAGAATAAGACAAAACAGAGTTCCAAGGCAAGATTTTGGGATTTCTTGTCAACCCAGAGGAACACTTAGATCCAAATTAAGGCACAAGGGCCTGTCGGAATTCACCAGCTCGAGAGGGAAACAGCGGCGCGAGGAGGAGAAGACGAAGAAGAGAGAGAGAGAGAGACTTACCGGCGGGAAGAAATCTCCGGTGATGATGGCCTGAGAGATAGAGTCGACGACGATCGGGTGATAATAATGGCGATCTCTAGACGGGGAAGAAGAAAGAAACGCGAATTAGCTTCTTTTTTTTTTTCTTTTCCCCCAAAAGTTTTAATAATTTACTATTTTAGTATTTATAAAAAAAACACTTTATTCGTGAAGGTTTATACATGTTATGTCTTATGACTTGAACCATAAATTTCGAATTCTGAATCTGGATTCTTTGTGTTAAAGAACAGATGGTTTATTACACATTGGGTTCTACCAGTCTTTGAGGTCAGTTACTGTCTGAAATGTCTCGGCACCGTAATAGAAGCGGTCAAAACCGGTTCAACGAGGACAGAATCACATTAGTTCCGTTCTTGGTTCCGCCATTAGAGCTAATCAAGCTTTTACTCTGATGGAGGGAGAAAGAATGTAATGTACATGGTGAAACCACAAGCTATAAGTCGGGTTCCAATGTCTGAATCAAACTCCAGACATAGCCCTACTCAGACGATTCTCGTCTTCTCCATCTTCTGCCCTCTCCCACCTCATTTCCAACCCGAGATTCTCCACCACACAAGATATATCCCGGTACCTCGAGTGAGACGCGTCCCCAGACGAAAAACCATGTAACGCCAGTGACCCATCATCATCAACGACATCGACCCAGCTGAACCCGACCTCTTTCCTCACACCTTTCTCCCTCATTCCTCTCCGGATCTTCGCCACTTTCTCCCACTGTCCCTTCTCCGCATAGAGATTAGACATCAGAACATACGATCCCGAGACCTCGGGTTCCATCTCCATCAGAATCTCGGCTACCCGCTCGCCTATTTCCACGTCCCCGTGTATCTTACAAGACCCTAGCATGCTCTGCAACATGGACAGTCCTGGCCCACCTGGAACCCGACCCATCAGCTCTTCTGCTTCCTTCAGCCTCCCGGCTCGCCCAAGCATGTCGACCATACACGAGTATTGCTCGTGAGATGGCTCGAGATTGTATTCTCTGGTCATCGAGTTGAAAATCTCGTAGCCTATATCTACCATTCCTTTCCTGCTGCATGCCGTTAAGACGGACAGAAACGTTATCTGATCCGGTTCTACATCTGCTCTGGTCATCTCTCCGAACAAGTTCATTACCGAATCAAAATCTCCATGACTTGAATAGGCCGATATAATCGATGTCCAAGCGAACTGGTTTCTTTCGGGCATCTCGTTGAACACTTTCTCGGATTCGTAGATGCTCCCCCGCTTGGCATACATATCAAGAAGAGCACTAGACACAACGGGACAAGTATTTAAGCCCGTTTTCACTATATAAGAATGGCAACGCTGCCCCTGCTTTAGAGATATATCCTCAGCAGAAGCTATTGCTTTCAATACACTTCCGAAAGTGTACTCATTCGGCTCTGCCTCTGCTAATGCCGACAAGAATACCTCGAGAGCTTCTTGTGAGAACCCGTTATGAGCATACCCAGATATCAAGGCGTTCCAAGAAATAGTTTCGCGGTGATTTAACTCGTCAAAAACCTGCTTTGCGTCTGGCATTTCCCCAAACATGGAATACATTGTGATCAAACTGTTACAGACGTTCATTTTCGAAGTAAATCCGGCTTTGACGCAAAACCCATGAATTTTTAACCGTTCCTCGAAGAGTTTTCCACACGTGATTGCATGGATCAATGCAAGCAACGTGACATCGTTTGGGTAAACTCCGTCTAAACACATCTTACGAAAAATGGAAACAGCATTTCCCATATGCGTAGAGATCATCATTGTCCAAGTTATAACATTGCGTTCACTCATTCGGTCGAATACCATTTTCGCAGCTTCGACAACTCCACATTTCGTGTATATCGACATCAAAGTATTTCCAATGGAAACATGTCTGACATGACCTCCTTTTATGGACAAACCATGTATTTGCCTGGCTAGCTCCAGATCTGTGTCATGACAACAAGCTGACAAAGCACTTGTAAATGATACATGATCGAGCGCCATCCCTTCTCGCATCATTTCACGGAAGACATACATTGCTTCGAACCCAGAATTTCCTTGTGCGAGTCCTGATAACAATGAATTCCACGTAACCGAATCCTTATTCGGCATTTCATTGAAAACCATCCAAGCTTCCACGAAACTCCCCCACCTTGAGTACATCGTTATAAGAGCATTCCCCACGAAAACATCAGACTCCAGACCGGATTTCACAACCGAAGAATGCAACTGCAAACCTAAATGAAACCCTTCATAGTCCACACAGAATGGAAGAGCTGTGGTATATGAAAATGCATCGAAAACAACTCCAGCGGATTTCATCCTAACAATAAAATCTAAAGCAACTTCATTGTCTTCAAATCCAGAGAGTATAGTATTCCAAGAAACAACATCCGGGTCAACCAGATTCTCAAATATACACAAAGCTTTGCCAAAGTCTCCTGCATCACGATACATTGCCATTGCAGCATTAGAAACACTGACAGAGGAAGTTAACCCAGACGTAACAGCAAACCCATGAATTTGACAACCCAGTTTCGTGTCTCCACGACAAGCCTTAAGCCCCTGAGAGATAGTAACCTCGTCCACGTTACCGAGCACACCCAGTTGCAGATTTTGCTTGAAGATTCCAAGGGCATGTCTCGGAAGGTTACACCGCAAGGATTCGACCATGGAATGGTTGACGGAAACAGTAACATTTCGTTTGAGACTTTCATCGAACAGCTTGTGGGCAATCCTTGAAGATGAACGAAAAGTCCGACAAAATATAGATCCTGGAAGATTACATACACAATACTCAAAACTCAAGACGGTCTCGATACGCCACAGGCGAGGTCTCATGAGAGGGTTTAGCCGAACGAGGAATGGACAATGGAGGAATCAAAGAGGAGGAAGAGAGGTTTTGGATTTTGCATAGTTGTAACTAAACGACGCTCATCAAATTTGGTGAACAATGGCAGAAAACGGTGTCGTTTAGAAGATGGGGGTAAATTAGAATAAAATATGAACAAGTGAAGATTCTATTCTATATGGGCCATTGGCCATACTTTTTTCTTCGTTGTCTACTTTTGGTCGTCTGGAAAATCCCCAAATGAACTGATCGGTATGAGAAACCCTAAATTTTCCTGAAGTTTTCGATCTTCCGATAATCGTATCGGGATTTCGGATTCGGATTCGGAATCTGTGCTTCCGAATCTCTTGGTTGTATTTTAGGGTTTTCTCCAGTCGTCGTCGTTTGATTTCGTGTGAAACATGGATGGGAACAAAGACGATGCGTTGAAGTGCCTGAAAATCGGCAAGGATGCGATGGAGGCAGGAGATCGAGCTCGGGCTTTGAAATTCTTGATGAAAGCTGGACGTCTTGATCCGAGTCTCCCGATCGACGATCTCGTTTCGGAGCTTAAAAAGCAATCTGACGATCCAACGGCGGAGAGTTCGCCTGGATCTGCCGCCAATGGCTCTGCAAAAGCGTCGGATCGGCCTTCTCTGCGGCAACGTGGACCAGCGGCCTCGGCGGCTGCTGGGTCGCCGGCGTCGGCGTC